GAATTTGCTTTTACAGACTTAAAAAGGTTAATCAGCCAGTCCAAAAGTCTCCTTTTGGCTGGCAGTCTTTAAAGAAAAAAGAAAGAACCAAAGAAAATTTTCCAGTTCTGCCAAGTCAGCCACGAGAACTATCCTAAAAGGCAAAAAAACCCTCCATTACGCAATAGGGGAGGGTAAAATACTAAAATATCCTTATATTATGCTTGTTTTTTAATAATCTATACAATTACTAATAAACCAAAAGAATTAAAGGTTTAAGCAAAGAAAACCATTAAGGAAAAGAGTCAAAAAAGGGGTTATAAATAATCAGCTTTAAGAAGTCTTGGGTAAAACATTTTTTTTGCTACTTTTTTTTAAATGGGTAGAGAAAGCAAGCAATTACTACATTTAGTAGGCAAATGAAATTACCTAACTGAGTTAATAAACTTTTCTAATTTAAAGTTTCTTTGTCGAGCAATGGATAGTAATTGACTTTTTTCGCGGGGAGAGTTTACAAAAGTTATAGCCTTGCCGCTGGCTCCAGCTCGACCGGTTCGTCCAGTTCGATGAATATAGAATTCACGATTTTGAGGAAAGTCATAGTTAATAACGTAAGAAATATCTTTAATATCTAAGCCGCGAGCAGCTATATCAGTAGCAATTAATAAGGAAATTTCCTTCTTCTGAAATTTTTTAAAAACTCTAGTTCTCCTACCTTGGGACAAATCACTATGAATATAATCAACTTGCAAGTGATTATCGCGCAAAGTGTTGTTTATTTCTTCAACCTTCCTTTTGGTATTGGCAAAAACAATTATTGGGTTTAGTTGATTAGTCGAAAGAAAATTAACTAGGCTTTGTTTTTTTTGTCGCGGAGAAATAATTTCCAAATAGTAATGTTCGGTATTGCTCGGTAAATCATTACTTTGGTTAGCAATTAGAACTGGGTCATGAGCAAATTGCCGAGCTAATTTTGTTATTTCTTCTTGTGATAAGGTAGCGGAAAAAAGTAAGGTCTGACGTGACTTAGGAATTATTTTCATTATTTTTTCAATATCTCTTAAAAAACCCTTGCCAATCATTTCATCAACTTCATCTAGTACTACAAACTTTAAATGGTCAACGTGAAGAGTTTTTTTTATAAAAATGTGGTCAATAATTCGACCAGGAGTTCCAACTACTACATCTGCCCCTCGGCGAAAGGCCTGGAATTGCCGTTTATAAGATTCACTACCACCTCCACCATAAACTGCGACCACTTTTAAATTATCATGGGGCGATAATTTACAGGCTTCTTCACTGACCTGCAAAGCCAATTCTCGAGTAGGAACTAAAATAAGCGCTTGGGGTTTGAAAATTACTTCTAATTTTTCGAGGATGGGAATAAGGAAGGCGGCAGTTTTTCCAGTTCCAGTCTGGGATTGAGCAATAATATCTTTACCTTCTAACACCAGAGGAATAGTTTGCAATTGAATGTTAGTTAATTGGTGGTATCCGGTTTGGCGAAGGTTTTTTTTAGTTTTTTCTGATAATGGTAAATTTTCTAAGTTCATTTAATATATTTATAACTATTTTTACATGATTAAGAATAAAGTTTGGTTAATTTTTAGGAAAAACAAGCACTAAATTGGCTTCTAACTATGCCTTTTTAGCAACATAATATTAAAGTATTAATTTTGGTTGGTAATGACATTGGGATAAATGCTTTATTTTTCTTGTAAAATGAGTAAAGAATCTCTGCTATACTTGTCATTTTTTCAACTTTATCTTCCCAAACTAGTATATATCCTTTGCAGTTTTTTAGTTTTTTCAAAGCGATCCAAAAGTTCCTTTTCTTTTATGGATTAAGAAATATTAATAATTTATAAGCGATTTAAGAATTGCCTTGGTTTTTGCCTTCCCTATGGAAGTAACCTGAACAACTGCAAAGTGTTGAAATAAATTTGTTCTCCTGCTTCCTCTAGGTTCATTTTTTTGACTTCGGCAATTTTTTTTAAAGTATAAATTATGTTCTGGGGATAGTTTCTGCCTTTTCCACGTAAAGGTTCGGGTGACAAATAAGGAGCATCGGTTTCAATAACTATTCTTTCCAAAGGTGCTTTTTCTAACACTTCTCCCCACTTGTCTTTCCCTTTAGCATTTTTGTAAGTAATATTACCAGCAAAAGAAATATAAAAACCTAAATCAAGGAATTTTTGGGCTATTTCTCAATTTCCGGTAAAACAATGCAAAATTCCTTTTTTTACTTTCGCTTCCTTCACTAATTCATAAGCCTCATTAAAAGCCTCGATAAACTTTTTTTCATCCTCCTCGCCTCTAATATGTAATAGAACTGGCAAATTATATTTTTTGGCTAATTCTAATTGCTTTTTAAATCATATTTTTTGTTTTTCAATGTCGGTAAAAGTACGGTAATAATCTAAGCCAATTTCACCAATTGCAATAATCCTTTTATTAGTTAACTGTTTCTCTATTCATTTTAAATTCTCTTCGGTTAAATCTTCATTACTATTCGGGTGTAAACCCAAAGCACCATACAAATTAGCAAAAGTTCTTAATTGAGTAAGTAAAAATTGGTTAGTGGGCATGTCTTGCCCAGTATTAAGGATATATTTTACCCCTATCTCTTCAGCGGCTTGAATAATTTCTTTGAGGTTTCGGTCTTGTTTGTGATATTCTTTATCCGCTAAATGGCAATGAGTATCAAAAATGGTTAATTTATTATCTCTATTCATATTAATTTACTTTGCAAATTACCTATTTTGGCTGGAAATAGGGAGAAAAAAAGGTAGTTATTTTTCTAGTTCCTGGACTTTCCTTAATTATTTTTAGGTGAATGTATTTTTTTTCTTGCCAAAACTGGGGATTTTTCTCTCCTCATTCAATAATATTTAAATTATCAATGGTTAATTCTTGAAAAATCTCTAAATTATCACTAGTATTTAAACGAAAAAAGTCAAAATGATTTAAATAATAATTATCTTTTATTTGGTGCCTTTGTAAAATAGTAAAGGTAGGAGAAGTTATTTTTTCTTTAATTCCTAAGTTTTTGGCTATTAGTTGAGTTAAGGTAGTTTTGCCAACTCCTAATTCACCTTGTAGAATTAAATAAGCGTTGGGTTGCAAATAAGGTAAAAGTGATTTAGCAAACTTTTCTAATTCAGTCAGATTATTGATCTTTATTTTAACTGATGACATTATTAATTTTTTAAGTTTTGGTTTGTTTGTCTATATACGAATTTTTCAAGTATATATGACAATAAAAGAAATAAAAAAGTTGAGGAAAAGAAAGTTAAGAACGATAACTCCGGAGTATAGAAACAGTCAAGGATAAGAAAGGGGGTGGAATGACTACTTTATTTAAATCTTATCTAGGGAGAGGACGACCCTCATTATTCAGTTTTGGAAGAGATAATAAACCCTAGTCAAAGGAATTGAGATGATTTTATGATTGATGAACCAGGAAAATATAAGAATTACATGTTATCCAGGACTTCTATTTTTGTGAAGTAGGAGTGAGAAGGGTTAAGAAAAAATATTGTCTGATGCATTTTACCAAAAATAGGAAAGAAACTGATAATCAACTAGTTAATTTTTGTTTTAATTTAGAAGAAAAAGCCAAATCTAAACTAAAAAATTGTGTTCTAAGAGAGAAAAAGAACTTATTAACTAAATGGGTGAATATGCTAAAAGATGAGATGTTGAGGTTTAGGGATTTTCGGAGTAGGGATTGATTTATCGAGATGCTAAAGTAAAGAAAAAAGAAATGAAAAACATAATAAATAGTAGCATAATCAGTTTAGATCCCGGAGGCAAGACTGGAATTTATTATCAAAATGGTAAAGAAGAGCAATTTATCGAAATAAATAAGCAATGAAAAGAAACTTATGGAGAGATTAAGGAACTAATAAAACAAAAACAAATTCAGAAAGTAATTTTCGAAGATACTAATTATATCCACAAAAAAACTAAGGATGGGTTAAACTTATTTCGATTATTAGGAGCTATCGAATGTTTAGCAGTAGCACAAGTAAAAAAAGTAAATGTTCTAGAAGTAAAAAAACTAACTAAACAATTACTAGCAGGAGTAAAGAAACTAAAAGAAATAGAATATCAGCAAGGCAGAGGTAAAGGCTGAATGTTTAAAGGTAAAAGAGTTAGTATTCATTGTTTAGAGGCTTATTTGGTTTATTATCTTTTTAAAAATGGTTAAAATAAAGTATTATGGTAAAGAATAATAAACTTACTTCTCAAGAAGAAAGGGAATTCAATAAATTATTAGAAAAGTTAGAAGACCAAAATTATCAAGGAGGGGCTTATGCTTTACCGGAAAATCCCACTCCTTTACAAGAAAGTAAATATGAACTTTGTCAGAAAATACTAGATTACAAGTTAACTAATCATTTAAGTACTGAAGAAATTGCTAAAAGAATTAATTTAAGCAAAATAGAAACCGAGGAAATTCTTTTTTGCCAAATTGAAAAGTTTACTTTGGACAGACTTGTTTCTTATGCTAGTGAATTATTTGCTCCCTTAGAAATAAAAATCACCAAAGCTGAGGAAAGAAAATTACATGCTTAAAGAAGAAAAGAGGGAAATTTATTATCTCAAACTTACTTTCAATCATCGACTAATAACTAAAATAACTATCACTGACTATTATAAAAAGAAACATCCTGATATTACTGATAAATTAATCTTAGCAATCCTGAAAAACAAACTAAATAATGAAAAAGTTAACCCCTATGAATGAATTGGACAAGAAAAAAGAGAAGTGTTTCGCTGGCATGCTACTTATCAAAACAGAAAATATCGTTTAATTTTCTGATATGAAGATAATAATCCTCAGAGTCTTTGGATTAGAAACTGTCATCGAATAGATTAGTTAAGGTTTCTCTTATGGTAAACTGGATGATTACTACTTTGCATACTACCTAAACTATGAATAGTGAAAGGATAATCTTTTCAAATTCAGTCTTCTTTTAAAAATAGTTCAACATATAAGTTCCTAGGGTTAATATGACTATAATTCTCTACTGTATAAACTCGAAAATATTTCTGATGGAAGTTAATTACAAAAAGATAAGGATTATTTAAACTAAAACCTTTTCTATTTTGAGTAGCAATTATTAATCCTCTTTCACTATCTTTCAATAATCAAACAAATTATAAGGAAAAGTTAAAGTGTTAGAATAAAAAATGCTTGGTTCGACCGAATTATTTATTAGGAAAATTCCTTTGACAATTATTACACTTTTGGTTTGGCATGGTTTACAATTTTTATTCAAATGATTATTAACTACTTCTTGCTTTCCTTTTTCTAATTATTAAGGCAGTGGTCAAAATTATTACTAGGAAAATAACTGTTCCGGCCAGAATAATTTTTCCATATCCTTCTTTGGGGTGATTAGATTGGCTAGAATTATTTTTTGATTTATCTTTGTTTTCTAATTCCTTAATGTGGTTTTTTGCTTCTTCAATTTCAATTTTTAATTTTGTCTTTTCGGCAGAATTAGTGGAATTTCGAAGTTTGCTGTTTAATGCCTCTAATTTAATTTGCTCTTGCTCGATTTTCATCCTCTTTAAGGCATTTAAGTTTCTTTTTTTTAGTTCAGTTTCCGATACTTTAGGTAATTTGTCGGAGCAACTCATGCAATAAATTTTATCGCCGGTTCCAATTCATTCTCAATAATCTTTTCCTTCGCTTGTCTCGCCACATTCAGTACATTTTACTCCTTCTTTCTTTTTCTCCTCGAATCCTTTTCTATCCTTCTCTGGTTTTTCCCGGTCATGTTTCCTTTGCTCTTTTCTTCTCTGACTTTCCTCACGCTGTTTGGAACTAATGACTTTTATCGAAAAATGGTCAGGTCGGTTGTCATCTCCTTTTTCATATTCGTATCATTTTCCATTAATTTCTCTGCCAACTCGGGAAAATCCACCATCTTCGACATCACTATTTAGCATTAATCCGCGAGCCTCTTTTTTTAATTGGGACGAGATAATAGAATAACACTCAGTGCTTTCATACTTATCACTTATTACAATCGGCAAAACGCAAATATAATCGACACCGCTTTTAAATTCTTTTAATTTGTTTAGTAGTTTTTGAAATTCCATGATCCTTTAATATATTATATAGGATTTTTGGCATAAACCCACCCGCTTTTTTATAATTTTCTATTGTTTTAATCTTTGAACAATAACCTTTTATTTAATAACTTCTTCTTTATGAATTGCTGTTTTTTGGCAGAACTTACAATATTTTTTTAAACTTAATTTCTTCCCTTGGGGCTTTTTGGCTTTGGAAGTTCGATAATTTTGATGTCTTTTTTCGCAATCACCACACTTTAAAAATAAATTAACCCGCATATGTTTATTTTTTTTTCTTTTTTAAGGAGAGTTTTTTAGCATTATCCTGACCTTTTTTGGCCGAACTTTTAGTCATGCTAATAAATCGGTTAACTTGCTCTTCTGAAGGTTTTTTACCTAAGGCTGATAACATGTTTCTTACCTGTTCTTTATCAGGTTCTTGCATTTTCTTTTGCAATTCTTTCATTTGATTTTTTAAAATATAATTTCTAATAAGAAATCCTATGATTATTCCTACTATAAGCACCACTGGTACAATGATGGTGTAAACTTTTCAATCTTCCATATTTGATAATATATATTTTAGACTTTTCGTTCAATCACCCTCATTTTGGCACTCCGAGCCCGATGGTTCTCAATTATCTCTAATCGAGTAGGAATGAGGGGTTTTTTAGTGATAATTTGGAAGTGTGGAGAAGCATATTTTTTGAAAGTTTGTTTAACAATTCTATCCTCTAAGGAATGATAACTAATCACCACAATTCTTCCCTCTTTGGCAAGGTATTTAAAGGTCGCTTCTAAGGCTTTGGTTAAATTTTCCAATTCTTGGTTAATAAAGATTCGGAGGGCTTGAAATACTTTGCGGGCGGGGTGCTTATTACCTTTTTGGGAAAAGCAGGAAGCAATTATCCCGACTAATTGTTCGGAGTTGACAATTTTTTCTTTTTCTCGTCAGTAGCAAATTTTTCGGGCAATCATCCGGGCTTTTCTTTCTTCCCCGTAATGATAAAAAATATCGGCTAATTTTTCACAAGAATAATTATTAATAATCTCTTCGGCTTTTAATTCATTTTCCTTGCTTATTCGCATATCAAGTGGTGAGTTTAAACGATAACTGAATCCTCGATCTTCTTCAACTAATTGATCCGAAGAAAGTCCTAAGTCAAACAAAAATCCATCTACTGCTTGAATACCCAGTTTTTCTAAATGTTCTTCTAAATTAGCAAAATTATCATTAATAAGGTAAAATTGCGGAGAGGAAAAATTTTTATCATTTTGAGTCAATTGGCTACTTTTTTCATCTCATTCAAAAGCAATTAATTTACCTTTTACTAATTTTTCGAGGATGGCTCTCGAATGACCGCCTTTACCAAAGGTGCAGTCAATATAAACTCCTCCTGGTTTTAAATTGAGATAATCAAGGGTCTCTTTTAACATTACCGGAACATGAATTCCACCAATTATAGACATTTTATTATTTTTTGATACTTAATCTTTTCTCCCTAAACTCAAAAGAACTCACCCTATCCATTTTTTTACTTGTCTTCCTGCTTCCTTTCTTCGGTCGGCTTCTCTCCTTTTACGATTCTCTTTCAACTACCATTATCAGTGGTTAAACTCTTTCAAGAAAAATAAGAATAAAGTAAAGCATAAATAATACTAATAATTAGAAAAAAAACAGTTAGCGGTTCAGTGCGTTTTCCAGTGGGAACAAAGTTAAAATAGCTGCCAATTACGATAAAAGGCATGGCTATTCCCGCCGCAATCACAAAAAATAACTCAAAAAAATCTTTTACATTCATATCTTAAATTTAATACTTTTCATTTTTTTTCAACCTAAAAATACTTAATACCACGGTAATAGTTTTCAATGCCTAAAATTTTCTCCAAAAAATATATTTACTTTTGGGTTATTAGCATTTTTTTAATGGTGCTTTTGGTAATAGGAATAATAATCTTCCACCAAGTGCAAGCCAAACCAAATAAAAAAACCTCATCCTTGAAAGAAATAGTTATCCAACCAACCACAAAGCATTCAGCCAGTGTAATTTTCCTGCACGGTTTAGGAAATAATGCTGAAAACCAGCGAACTATTTGCCAGCCATTAGCCAAAAACTTTCCCCATATTAAGTTTATTATCCCCCAAGCTTCCACTATCTCGGTAAGCATGAATGGAGGCTGACAAATGCCAGCCTGGTATAATATTAAAGGCAATCCTGGTGATATTATGAGTTTAAAGGAGGATAAAAGAGGCTTGCTAAATTCAGTTAACCAAATCAAGCAAATTGTGCAAAGGGAGATCAAGGCTGGTATCTCACCGCAAAAAATTATGGTGGTCGGTCATTCCCAAGGAGCCTCGGTGGCTTTGGCGGTCGGTTTAACTTCGGATTATCGTTTAGCCGGAATTATTGGTTTAAGTGCTTTTTTGCCGTGCCGGAATGAGATATTTAATTGAGCCAAACCCGAGAATAAAATCATTCCTTTTTTTCTTTATCATAATTATTATGACGACATAATTCCTGCTTATATTGGCGACCAATCGGCTACGTTGCTGAAAGAAAAAGGCTATCAAGTTGAGTTTGATAATTTATTTAATGGTAGTCATTTTTTCAAACCAGAAGAATTACAAGAAATATTGACCAAAAAATTAAAGGAATTTCTTGCTTAAATTACGTTTAAATATAATAATAATGAAATCTTTAATTGAATTACTTACTAAACAAAACTTAACCCTGGCTAGTTGTGAAAGTTTGACGGGTGGATTATTTGCTACAATGTTTACTGAAATTGCTGGAGTGGGGCAAGTGTTTAAAGGTGGTTTTGTTGTTTACAGTAATGAAGCCAAAACTAAATTAGTCAAGGTTTCTCAAAAAACCCTCCAAGAACACGGAGCCATTAGTGCCCAATGTGCTAAGGAAATGGCTTCTAATTCTCGACAATTACTAGGAACTGACTTAGCCATTAGTTTCACGGGTAATGCCGGATCTGCTACCCAAGAAAATAAACCAGTAGGCTTGGTATATATTGGTTTAGTTATTAAAGATGATTTAATTAGTAAGGAATATCGTTTTTTTGGTTCACGGAGAGAAATTCGCCAGCAAGCAGTAGAAACTGGAATTATGCTAATTAAGGATAACCTCGGCAAGATAATCAAGAATGACATATCATTACCCAAAAAATAACTAAATGACCGACCTTCTCAATAAAAAAAAAATCTCCCTTCCGGCTAGATAAAAAACTACTAGTTAAGTTTTATTTCTTTTTTTACCCACATAGTCAATTTTTGATAGATAAAGACCAGCAGCCGGAGCAATATTTTTATACTTGTAATTTGCTTGGTTAAATTTAATCAATTTTTCTTTTAAGTCATTAACGGTTTGTTTTCCTTCATAGCAACTAATTACCTCTCCAATTATCGCTCTAATTTGATAGCGAATGAAACTTTTAGCAATAATACTAATGGTAATGATATTTTTTCTTTTTCAACTTTTTAGGGAGTTAATTTCTCGTTCGGTGTTTACTTTTTCCCGTTCTTTTCAACGGCAATAAGTATAATTAAAAAAATTATGTTGGCCTTGGAAAATTTGGAGAAGGCGGTTTAATTTTTTAACTTTGAGGGGCAAATTATACTCTCAACGATAATTCTTTTGAAAGATATCGTATTTACCGACATTAATAAAATAGCGATATTCTTTGCGGAGCACTTGATGAATAGGGTGAAAACCATCATCTACTTTTTCAACTTTTTTAACTAGAACATATTTACAAAGCGCTTTTTTCAATAAACTAAATAACCTTGCTTGGGAAAAGAGCCAATCGAGCCGAAAAGTAAATTTTTGTTCGCGGGCATGAACTCCTTTATCGGTACGACTGGCGGCTAAAATACTAACTTTTTTTCTAAATATTTTGCTGAGAATATTTTCAATACAACCTTGAACTGTGAACTCCGTGGGTTGGATAGCTCAACCAGCGAAATTGCTTCCATCATAGGCAACGGAAATTAAATAAGAATACGTTTTTTTTTCCTTTGGCTGCTCCATGAGATATTAAAATTAAAGCAAATTAATACTTATTTTAACCATTCTAAAAATAATAAAATTGTAATAATTAAAATCGACCAACTGGGTAGTAATTAGGAAAAATATTTGCTAAAACACTTTCTTTATTTTGCTATAAACCATAAAATCTATAAACAAGATATTATTAGTATTCATAAGGGGTTATAAGGAATAAATTACTTTACTATATAATTAATATTTTAACTTACTAAACTAATTACTATTTGCTTAGATTGATAATTTTTTTAGTAAGAAATTAGTAACCCCTACTTTTAAAATAGGGGCATTTACTAATAAAAAATAAGTACTAGTTGGTTATTTATTAACTAACTTTTTTGTTTACTATATGATTAATTTTTTCAGTGAAAGCAATTGTTGAAAGAACCGCTTTACACTTAATTTATTTATTATTAATTTTAACTTGTAATGTAGTTCTTGGTTTTTTAAAAAATCCAATAAATACTTTTATTATTTAGGTGGAAGTTGGATTTGGCACCTAAGTTTAGATTCATGCATTTGTTTTTGACAATTGTTGGTTCCGACTACTACTATGTAATTACCTTCCTCCTTAAACCCTTCTTCATTTCCTAATTCCACTAAACCTATTCGGTGATAAGCATCAGTTAAATTAAGTCGTTCGGAATATATTTTTTTCCCTGTTTTTCTTACCAAAAGAGAAAAAGGTTTATTACTTTTTCAAATCACTTTATTGAAAATTACTAAAAAGTCATTTTCTTTGGCTAACTTCAAAGTTTCTAATGTTCCAATTATTGATGTTTTAATGGCTTCATTATCGTCTGTTTTTCTTTGCCCTGCTCATCAAGACAACCTCACTGCTCTTACTGTAATATTCTTTTCATAAAGTCCTTCATCAGTTTCAAATCCTTCTTCTACTTTATTTATACTTTCATCTGCTTTTTCTATAATGTAATTAGTGGCAAATAATTCAATACCTTCTTTTCCGAAAGGTAATAATTTTTCATGTGCAGTTTTAGGGAATGTAACTTCAATTTCGCCTTCGATACTAGTAGAACCATTTTTTTGTTGATCCTTCTTTTCTTTCTCTGATAATTCTTCCCATTTCTTACCTTCTGGTCATTTATTAAACACTATGTCAGGCATCCAGCACAAGCCATCTGTGGTGTTGCTTTCTCCATATCAAGACAAGGGTTCAGCATATCCATTCTCAACTGCTATTTTCATCACATCGATTAAAGCTTCCTCAACATCGCTTTTCTCGTAGGAGGGGTATTGTTTGCCCTTTGCAGTTTTATATTTGGGTTTCACTTGATTACCATAAGGAAGCAGACCTAAAATGGAATAGATACCATCTACCGGTACACTTCTGCCTCGACTTTTAATCGCCTTTAAAGCTTGACTCAAAGTCATTTCTACTTTATCATTTTCATCATAACCATCTCGATAATAAACTCAGCCTACTGGAGTAGCGATTTTTTTAGTTCCTTTATTAAATTCATTTCTGCTGTTATACTTTCCAACATCAGTGTAAGATGCTTGATTTAATGCTCAAGTTCCAGCAATTGCTCATCCATCCATTAAATTGTCATCAAACATAAAAATAGTGTGTTTACTTAGTCAACCCTCTTGGAAAGTTCAAGAGCGAGTAAATCATTCGGAGTTAATTGCTTTACTTAATATGTCAATTAAACTGGTATTATTTACATCACCCACTTCATCATCTAAGGCTATTAAAGTTACCTCGGCATTGCTATAATACTGTCTCATTTTAGGAATTTCATTTTCTTTATCTTTTGTTGCTTCTTCACCTTCTTGAATAATACATAATTGATCTATTCAAATATGATCAATATCTAACAAATTACAAGTTTGAATAGATTTATGCAAAGACTTATTACCGGAAACTGTAAGGTTATTTTTTCATCAGGGATAACTTTCCATTTCTGCAGTCGCTTTTACACTCGGATCTCCTCAGACATAAGAAAGAATAGCATAACTTTTAATGTCCTTACCTTTAGTTTCTTCTACTTTGTCTTTTTTTATACTGTAAAGCCTAGTTGGTAATTCTTTGAGAAACAATGTTTCGTTGTTTTTAACTACTTTTCATTTATTTAAATGTATCTCATTATAGTTTATTTTCGAGATGTTGGCTAGCAGTTTATCTTGGTGTCTTTGATTTTGGATTTGCTCTACCAACTTGGCAAGTTTACTCGTGTATTCATTTTTTTGTTTATTTTTGCCAATTAACAAGGGAGGGAGAAGAGGTGAAGTAACTAGCGAAAGTTTTTTATCTATCTTAACTTCTCTTCATTTTTTAACACCCTCTTCGCCTTTATTATAGTCTACGAAAGGTTGCAACTCCTCATAAATGTCATTTGCTCTTGACTCAAGTCTTTCCTCTGATAGACAATCGACATATGCAACATTTCTTGGTAGGTATTCCAAACCGTAACCAACATCTGTATTTTTGATATTTAGGTTTTCTAGTTTGGTGAAATTCCGAAAGTATTCTAAAGAACCATAAAAACGATTATAAATTCCTTGTTGGATTCTGCCTCAGTTAGTGCGTTCTCCACTATTTCCCACTCAAACTCTTTTCAAATTAACCAAATGACTTAAAAAAGTTAAATCTTGCTTTGGGAAATTGTTATTGCTAATATTGAATCAGTCCTCTAGTTGTAAATTATTAGTCAAATCTAAATTAGTTAGCAAATTAGAAGAACAGTCGAGACTTTTTAAACTAAATAAACTATTAATATTTAGAGAAGTTAAATTATTTTTGGAACAATTAAGTTCTTTAAGATTAACAAAATCATTTAAGTCCAAATTTCCTTCTAGACCTTTTTCGCTAATGTTCAATTTCTCAATCTCATTTCTTTTTTTACCCTCACAACCTAAATATTCGCTTGTCTCATTTTTAGGAAATTCTTTGTTTAATCATTCTTGAGCATTTCTTTTTCTTATATATCACCCATAACCTTCATTATAAGAAATTCAATCCTTAGACTTTAAAAATTCATTTTCTTTTGTAAGATCATTTTTATTACTATCAACATAAATCTCTTCTAATTGTGAATTCTGAGAGAGATTCAAATTAGTGAGTTGATTATGAGAACAATCTAATTTTTCTAGATTCTTGAAATCACTCAAATCTAAAGATCCTTCTAGGTTTTTATTTTCAACACTTAGTTCATTTACATCTTTCCTACTTTCTTTAGGATAATTTTTGTCTAGTCATTGTTGTGCGTTTACCATATTTTTATATACTTTTATTATTTTCTTTTATTTGTTTTACAACCACTACTTGACAATTAAGTTCTTTATAACAAATTAGGTAGCAATTGATTTTATGATTATACTAATTTGCTATTTTTATCATTCTGACCATAGGCAATTTAATGTTTTTTATTTCTACTTTTCTTTACTAAAATCACTACTAAACAAAACAAAACTAC